CTTTAAATCTAATATTTTTAAGTAACTCTTTTACTCCTTCGCGAGGATTTTTTGAATAAAAATACGGTGAAATGCATCTTTTTACGTAGTCCTTTCTACGTAAAAATTTTTTAATAAGTTCTTAATAAGACGAAGAAAGAAGTTTGCTATTGCAGTCATCCAGAAGCGACATTTTTCCGCTAAAGATTCAAACAAGTTTTTATGTAAGTCTTATTAAAAACTTATTAAAGTTATAAATTTTATGCCTAATTATTATCCGTGTTATAAATCTTTTGCATTATTTATATATTGATACATTAAAAATTTTAATTTTAATTATTGATTACTTTAACAGCTGGGATAATGTCCATATCCACATTTGTTTTTACGTCCTACGTAGAAATAATAATTAGTAACTTGTAGTTGAAAAATTAGAAACAAATACATTATATATAATAATTACTTCCTTGTACGATGCAAAGTGATTATCTTGTACCATTAGTTCAAAAACATTATATGCATCATAAGATGCTACAAATAATGTAACCATAGTTCCACCAGGTCGAAGCATGCGATAAATGTTTTCAAACGCTTGTCTGTTGAATAAAGAAGATAAATGTAAATAATTTTTAAAGTATACATCATTATAATATTTGTGAATTAAAATTGTGTTTATAGTATTATGTCAAATCACGCAAAAGATGTTACTAAAACTAATTATTTCAAATTAAAAATTACACAAAAATTATTTATTTAGACCAGTTTTAAATTTTGTTAATAGAAATTTTTCATTTAATAAATACCAAATTTTCCTATAAGAAAAAATTATATTTTTTATAAGAAATTTATTAATTTATATCTGCTTAATAATCTTACTTACCGAATGTCTTTGCACCAATGCAAAATGTGAAATAAAAAAATGTGGTTAAATTCCAATACATATTTCTCAGGCAAATTTTTAGTTTGGATATCTAATACTTTTAATCCAAGTCGTTTCTCGTCACTGTACGTCATATTTGCATATTCGATCATGCTTTGTGAAATATCCGTACCTGCATGATATATAATAATTGGATTAACAATAAGTAATAATGCACGACAATTGGTAGTTATATATAAACAATTTATTTGTTTATTTACCAATTATTACTGCATTTGGGTCAAGAGATGACAAAAGAATATCATTCGTTACATCTCCCGGTCCACAACCGATATCCATACGTTTTCCGAAGATTTTCTTTAAATCATCAGCAAATTCATTGATTAAACGTGATACATTGTATTTTTGGATATTGTCAGATGAAGCATAATCCCTTGAGTTTACCCCATATTTACAACTTTAACAATTGCAACTTTAACTTGCTTCACAACTCGGTCAGTGTTTCTGTATATTCAATGTAATGCGTCACAGGGTGCGTTCGGGAAGCGCACTTTTGGCGCTATGAGCGCGCTTTGGTCATTCGTGGAGCCGCTTTATAGCACCAATAAAGTGATGTTGACGTCATTGTTTTGCCTTGTGACGTCATCACTCATGCTAACTCGTGCTCAGGATT